CTCATGGTGGGCCACAAGCTCGGGGGTCCATTAAAGGACCTAAGCTTAAATCTGAATGAAACGTCATTTAGCCCATCAAATGGGCAGATAAGACTTGGGGCAAGTGGCTTTGAGTGTTCTCTGTGAGTACACCGTGGTGAACACTTGACTATCTCTGCCTAGAGAGGTGCAAGCCTTTCTACATACACATTACCATTTATGCAGATCTGAAAATGCAGTTGATGGTTACATTTTCATAAGCAATGACAAAACGCTGTCAAATTAAAAATAAGCATGATTTGCAATTTTATTTATAAATTAAGAACTGAAAATATGATTTACGTTTTTCAACTGAATGTGTTTCCAAGTTTCAGAATCATTAGTAAACCCAGGACATGTTGTGAGAGACATTGCTTCAATTAGGTTCTGGGCTTCATGAAATACAATGATAACAGTGGCAGTTTTGAATTAGCATACAATTTCCTGTTTTGGCAACTCAAACTGTTTACTCCGCTCCTGATGCTATATCTTCTGTAACGGAAACATTTGCATTCACATGTAAATGGAAAGTATTATTTTTTTCAGAGCTTCTTTGGACTACATCATGCGGTAGTTTAATGAATAACATGATTTCATATTTGGATGTTGTGATCATTGAAATTAGTGTAAGTGGTCTCTGTCCACATTAAAGGACACATATATTATTTGTCATATTTGACTGTCTCTGGATTAGATGGTGCCAGGAATAAAATAGGAAGTCGTAAATAATGACAGAAGTATGCCAGAGTATCAGTGGAAACTTAAGGTCAGCCTGAACTTAGCACAACCACAATCTGTGATTTTAAAAATAATAGTAAGGTCCTTCAGCTCCATTAATTAAAGAAATAATACAATAATTATTTACTGTTGCAGAATAAGTGTTTAAAACGTCTATGTTGGACTCTTCAGAAGTTTGTGTATGCTCTTCAAAGGTCAAGAAAATAATTAAATATTTAACATCCTGAAAGATCAAATTACTTAAGAGCAACCCTTCAAAGGTAAATCTGTAAAAATATCAGCTTAGCCAGCAATTATTATAATTTTGTAACTTCTTTCCTTGCAAACACCATAAATTTCTCCTTCTCCACCAACATCTTCTCTTATGGTTTCAAATGTACCCAAGGCTCCCTTTTCCTTTAAATAATGCACTTATACAATCCCATGCATCTACATATATTCCGTCTGACCCTGCTACTTCCCTTGCGGAGATAAGCTCACTTACTTCTTCCCATTTCTAAACATCTTAAACATGGAACTGATGTCTGCTGGCCACACTTCCTGTCACTCCATTCCTTACTTAACTTTCAGGCTTCCATCCTCAGTTAGATACAGAAATGACTCAAAGATCACTAGAATCTTCTCTGAGGAAGTCTAATGGCCTTTGCCACAGGCCTCACCCTGCTGGCCCATTTGCCACTTTTTACAGACTCCTTGGGCCCGGTCCTCCCTTGACTCCCACAACACTGCACTAGGCTAGTTTGCTTTCATCCTACAGTGCCCATGTCCCTTTATTGGCATTTCTTTCTCTCCATAAATCTCTGAGTTCCATTCCTGCCAGGAAATATTTGAAACTTACCTAGAATTAACAGACCCACAGGAATAAAATAATTCAATGATATTCTACCTAGGATAAGATCTGAAAATGATCTTCCTCTGAGAGTAACACATGGAGAAGAGGTCAGCTTAATTCAAGCTCAAGTCTTCAAGACCTTGGAGAAAGGCAGATGATCCAAAGGTCCTTTCGTGGCCTTTTCTTAAACAGTCTCGCCTCACGGTTTAGTATGGTGATTTGATGCGTTTGGTTTTACTCAAGAATTATATGGGACTCAGCAGATAACAACATGATTCATACGTAGCTATGATAAGCCAGATTATCTGGTTGAGCCATTGCTTGTATGAATTTAATGAAATCATCGATATCCCTGAGCATCTTACCAAGTGTTCCTATCCATCAATGTACAAACAGTGTAACAAAGCAAATCAACATAATAAAACAATATTTTTTAAATTACCTATGATGCTGCAGCTCCACATTTGTGGTCATGTTCTGTCAATGATACTCAAGGCCCTTTTCTAATACTAAAGACATTTGTCAGCTAAATATCAAGTTGTCTTTCTTCCCTGTCCATTTGTGCATAGCACCACTCTATCCATGGTGTGCTTTTGTAATTTTTAAAATGGTTTGAGAGAATGAAAAGACAAGCCGTAGACTTGGAGAAGATATTTGCAAAACACACATCTGATACAGAACTGATATCCAAAATCTTCAAAGAACTCTTAAAACTCAACAGTAAGAAAACAAACAACCCAATTAAAAACAGGCAAAAGATCTGAACAGATACCTGACTAAAGGAGATATATATTTGGGAAAGAAATATACAAGAGGTGCTCAGCATCGTATGTCATTAGAGACTTGTAGATTTAAACAACTGTAAGATACTGCTACACACCTATTAGAATGGCTAACACCTAAAACACCGACAACAACAAACGCCAGTGAGGTTGTGAAGCAGCAAGAACTCTCATTCGTTGCTGGTGGAAATTCAAAATGGCATAGCCACTGTGAAACACCATTTGGCAATTTTTTACTAAACTAAAACATAAGCTTACCATATTATCCAGCAATCAGGCTCCTAGGTACTTATGAATTGAAACGTTATGTTCACATAAAAACCTGCACACAGATGTTTTTAACGGCTTTATTCACAATTACCAAAAATTGGAAGCAAGGACAATCAAGATGTCCTTCAACAGGGAATTCATAAACAAACCATGGCAGATCTGTACAATGGAAGATAATTCAACAATAAAAAGAAATGAATTATCAAGCCAAAAAAAGGAAATGGAAGTATCTTAAATACATATTTGTAAGGGAAAGGAGACAGTCTGAAAGACTATGATACTGTGTGATTCCAGTCATACAACATTCTGAAAAAGGCAAAACTACAGAGACAGTAAAGAAAGATCAGTGGTTGCCAGAGGCTTGGGGAAAGAGAGGGAGAAATTGGTGAAGTGCGGGATATTTTAGGGCAGAGAAACTATTTTGCATGATATTTTAATGGTGGATGCCTTTCATTGTGCATTTGTCAAAGCCAAAAGGACTACGTAACAGAGAGAGTAAACCCTAATGTAAATTATGGACTTAAGTTGGTAATTTTATCTCCATATTGGTTCAATTTTTTTGTAAACCTAAAACTGCTCAACATTTTTTTTTCATTTTTTAGAGAAATTTTTAAAATTATACTTTAATTATAATTTAATTTATAATTTTAACTTAATTTATAATTTAATTTATGATTTTAATTATAATTTAATTATACTTTATAATTTTTTAATTATACTTTAAGTTCTGGGATACATGTGCAGATCGTGCTGGTTTGTTACATAGATATACATGTATCATGGTGGTGGTTTGATGCATCCATCGCCGCATCATCTACATTAGGTATTTCTCCTAATGCTATCCCTCCCTAATCCTCCCACCTCTTGCTATTCCTCCCCTAACAACCCACTCCAAGGCCCCAGTGTGTGATGTTCCCCTTCCTGTATCTATGTTCTCATTGTTCAACACCCGCTTTTGAGTGAAAACATGCGGTGTTTGGTTTTCTGTCCTTGTATCAGTTTGCTGAGAATGATGGTTTCCAGTTTCATCCATGTCCCTGTAAAGAACATGAACTCATCATTTTTAATGGTGCATAGTATTCCATGCTGTGTATGTGCCACATTTTCTTTATCCAGTCTGTCGTTGAAGGGCATTTGGATTTGTTCCAAGTCTTTACTATTTGAACAGTGCATATGTTTTTATAATAGGATAGTTTATAATCCTTTGGATATATACCCAGTAATGGGATTGCTGGGTCAAATGGTATTTCTATTTCTAGATCCTTGAGGAATCGCCACACTGTCTCCCACAGTGGTTGAACTAATTTACACTTCCAACAAAAGTGTATAAGTGTTCCTTTTTCTCCACATCCTCTCCAGCATCTGTCATCTCCTGATTTTTTTAATGATCGCCATTCTAACTGGAGTGAGGTGGTATCTCGATGTGGTTTTGATTTGCATTTCCTTAATGACTAGTGATGATGAGCTTTTTTTCATGTTTGTTGCTGCATAAATGCCTTCTTTTGAAAAGTGTCTGCTCATATCATTTGCCCAATTTTTGATGGGATGGTTTTTTTCTTGTAAATTTGTTTATAAGTTCTCCATGGATTCTGGATATTAGCCCTTTGTCAGATGGGTAGACTGCAAAAATGTTTTCCCATTCTGTTGGTTGCCCATTCACTCTATTGATAGTTTATTTTGCTGTGCAAGAGCTCTTAAGTTTAATTAGATCCCATTTGTCTATTTTGGCTTTTGTTGCCAATGCTTTTGGTGTTTTAGTCATGAAGTCCTTGCCCATGCCTATGTCCTGAATGGTATTGCCTAGGTTTTCTTCTAAAGTTTTTGTGGTGTTAGGTCTAATGTTTAAATCTTTAATCCATCTAGAGTTAATTTTTGTATAAGATGTAAGGAAGGAATCCAGTTTCACCTTTCTGCACATGGCTAGCCAGTTTTCCCAGATCAAAAAAAAATTTTTTTTTTAATCTTGACATGACAAGTTTTATTTCTAAAAAAAAAAAAAAAGACAATATTAACATTGAAAATTTCTAGTACCTCCACAGAAAACTTGTGTTCACACACGGACAAGAAAGTGTAGGGTCATATCCACAACTGAATGTGATAATTTATCAAAGGTTCATTTGATTGTTACAAGTCAGAGTCAGTTCACTTTCAGAGATCTTCATTCTTCTTCATTCGTGAAGTTCACATGCCCAAGTCAAGAAACATTTTAGGTAAAGGGTAAACTACTTGATAACTTCCAGTAACAGCCAAACATGTGATGACTAAATGAAAAAGAATAAAATGCAGGGCCCTACACCACCACTGTTGCCATCCCAGAAATGTCTAAGCAAGCATTTAAATGCCTTTCCCTTTTCTTCCAGGTCTTGCAATTGCCAGTGCCCTAATAGATATTTCACAACAGAAAGCTTCAGATAGTAAAGATAAGACTTCTGGAGTCCGGAATCGAAAACACCTTTCAACACGTCAAGGAACTTGTGTCTGAGAAATGGAAAACACTCCTGTATATTCTGTACTGTTTTACTTCAGGCTTCTGTTAAAGCTGTCCTGTGGCCTCGGATTTTATGGAGGAAAATCTCTGTATCACCCAGGGCCTGAGTATGGTTTCCTTCAAAATGGGCAATGACCCAGGTGGCCAAAGAATGTTCATGAGTTTTATAAAAGTACTGATGGTCACAGGTGATAAAGTCAGTTTTTATCATTATCTTAGACTTATTATACTAACATTAAATTACTCTGGAAAAAGATGTATATTATTTCTTAATGAAGATGAAAAATACGCAATTCATATAAATCAACTATTTATATCCCAAGACTTTAAAGAAAGACATTTTATAATGCCTGAATGATGAGAATTGTACAGTTTTTGCCTCATAAGCAAACGTAAATCACCTGTATATGAACAGGGAATGAAAAAATTGCAATGGCTTTAAATTCTCTTTTATTTCATTGTAAATGTGAAGGCAAGATTTTGATGTAGTAGGATGTAGGTAATGTATTTAAATATTTTGCATAATCTTATCATGTCCAGACTCAGTCTGAGAATGTGACAGCTTTCCACCTAACTGGAATGCAGACCAGAATGAGTTCAACTCATTCCGAGCAACTTCACAGGAGGTTTATTAGAATTCTCAGTGTAGAGGACATTCCTGTCATCCATGCCAACTGCCTAACTCATTATCAGAACTCATAGAGCATGGAAATGCCTGTCCAGCGATCAGTTGTTCCCCTCCTTCCAAAAATGGCCTCCAATACCACAACCTGAAGAGAGCTGAAATGGTTATTTTACAGCATATAAGTTTTGCTCCAGTATGATAATTTTTAATTGCCTGAGAATCATTGGATCAGACCTAAATGATCCATCTGCATTTTTATAAGAATGGATCATTTTTTTTTTTTTTGCCCTTCCTCTCCTAGCTGCTAGATTTTAACTACCTTTTAGAAATGTTACAAAATGTATTTTAGAGGCAACATCTCTCAAGTTATAAAATGACCTGAGTTCCTTCCTGCCAACTGTTCCACCTAGAATAGAAGTAGAGAAGAGCACTGGCTAGCAAGCATCAACAGTATTCTTCTTTCTAACATGGGCGCATCCATGTCATGAGAAAAAGTCTGTGGTTTAGAAAGTATGTTCATTGTTGCCCACAATCAGCATATTCTTAATGACTCAAAATTCTGAATTATGGCAGAAAGGAAAAATTAAACAGACTTCACGTTGGAACACAGAATTATTTATGTCCTAATGCTGACTTAACTTCACTAAAGCTCAGTAGCATTAACAAATATAGTTTGGAACTGCAGTTTCCTAACTTCAGGGTGACTACAAGATATGTATAACAGTGACAGAAATAGCCAAAGCTGCTGTATATGATATAGCTTTGTTTAAATATGAAGGTCATTTAAATACAATTGACATTTAGTACTATGTATATACTTTTCACATTCTTTGGATTTCTGGTAATGACACTTCACTGTTTACAGCTAATGCATAGTTACTTGCATGCCATGGTTGTACAGTAGCAGACCACGACCCTATTGTGATATTAAATGCTTATTTCATAATGCCATTTATACATAGTCAGCTTAATTTGATGAGGATTGAATGTAATATATAACAGGAATGATCATACAATATGTAGTTGCATCTTATATAAGATTGCTAGGTTGCATCTAACCATGACTATGTCATTATTTTGATAATTAGGCATTTACGAATTATAGTATATATTCCTCATGTTGGCATGATAATTTTGCTATTTTCCATGCATTAAAAATACAACAAATTCTTAGAGTAATTCTAGTAATTTTATCTATATCCTGTGGGGTCTTTTGGAGGGGAGGGCACTGGTTGTTTCTACTTCCCTATGATATTTTCTCTCTCACTAAAGGAATGAGCTAAGTTTGTAAATGTCTCCTAAAAGCAATCAAGTAATTTTATTAACTTCTTTTGGACCCTTTAAATGTTGACTTCTCTCATGAAAAAATAAATTGATAAAACTAGCAATTACAAAGATATAATCATTTTTTAACAATGATTGCCCAATTTATTTAATTCTCTAACAATTGTTGCAAGAGAAAGCATATATAATAAAAATATAAAAACATACAGATTTAGATGTAAAATCTATTTCAGCTATATTTTTAGGGAGGCTAAGCAGAGAGTGTTATGTGGAAGAAGTATCAAGTTTTATCCACCTCAAATCCCATTAGGTTCTTAAAACTTGAAAATACAAATTGTAGAGAACTATGAGACACAATGCAATGTTAAGTTAAAGTCATACTATACCTTCCTGGGCCAAACATTGCTAACTCCGTGGCTAATTATGCAATTAATTCTCAACTTATCAAAGCTTTTTACTGGCAATAAAATTCTTTGCCTTTTGGCGAAGTGGATTGAAAAGACAGGAAGGATCAAGGAGAATCTCTTTGAATCTGTGTCTTGATTTCCCGCCCCCCCCCTACATTCCAGACATTTTAAGTTTGGATACTTTCATTAAAAAAAAAATCAAATCAAACAAATATGCAGATACTTTCTCAGAATTTAGCAGTTAAATGGCTGATTCTCTTGAAAACTAAGCTTAATAGAATTCTAAACATTTCAGCTTACAATGACTTTGAAGTATTCTTTAGATTTTAGGATGTTTTATTCTGCCAAGTATGAAAAAAATCGTTAAATACAATGGAGTCTTAAAAATTAATCTGGGGATGACATTGGACCTAGAGAATTCTTGTTGGAAAAGAATTTGCACATACTTACAGATTGAGCTAATAAATTTTAAGAGGATTAGGATTCTCATAATTGCATTAAATGAAAATTTATTTTAATGATACACAGAGATGCCATATACTATAGTGTTGTGTTCAATAGGAAAACTTCAAATAGGACCTATTTAAAAAGGTAATTGATTCTTGCTGGACTTCCAAACATCTCATTTTCTTCCAGCTGTAGTAAGGTAGAGATGACTGTATAGCTGCAGTTCATGGTATAAGTTCATTTAGGGTACACACTGGCTCACAGACTGGAAAACACGTGCTGGACCTAGCTTTCAGGTGTATGGTGCTGGGTAAGTTTCACCTTTAAGTTTTGCTTTCCATCTGTAAAGGGAGTTTGTAATGGTGCCCACCTTGCAGAGGCATTGCAAGGCTAGATGGTCACAAACAGAAAGCTCCCACAGTGGGTCCTTGATGCAGCATAGCAACCATGGGGACATCGAGCCACTGTTTTTCTACCTATTGTTTTATGAATCCACCTATTAATTTTCATTCAGCTTTGCATCACAGGTAAAGGTCAATTCGGTTTTTCAAAAAGACTTCCTGGATTACTTAAGTTCCTATATTTTTAGGATATAGGGATTTTTTAAAAAAACTACTTTGCATTGGGCCAATAAAGACTTAAACTCTTCCCAAATCTATACAGTTTTAGGAGAGTATTTCTTAAAATTGCTGACTGATGACATTGAGACAAGAGCATCAATTATCACCTTTCATGTACAGATTAGGCAAGACGGGGGTCAGTACTTACATTTTGTGGTTATACTTGATGCATCTTTTTTCAGTGAACGTAAAACTATGATTTGAAAGGTGTCTTATATTTTTAAAAGATTTTAAAATGAAAACTGATCAAATGAACTATTTCCACCCACTTACGCTTTTTTTAAAATGTCAAGTTTCAAAACCCATTTGCCATATACATACTAGGGTGAGATTGAAACTTACCTGATTACAGGAATTGCTTGGGTTCAGGCAGATTCCCACTTTCACCTCTAGAGATTTAGATTCAGAAACACTGGGGTAAGCCCTGGAGAGCAGTACTCTTAATAAGCTTCTCAGTGCTTCTTACCATTAGGCAAATTAGGGAAACACTGCATTGGGTCAAAGTGCTGCCTTTATCGACCATTAGAGGGAGTTCTTTAAATAACGAAGTTATTGCTCTAATTCAAAATGCTTTAAAATATTTTCCAAGGAATACAAGCCATTTGGTTGGTGTTACAGCAGTGTTTTCATTAGAGTGTACATTTAACATTTTAGTTTTATCAAATTGTTTGAAATTAAGAATTAGAACCAGAGCTACTATCAGAATCTATGTACACAGGTGTGCATGCCAGTGTTAAAAACAGATTGTGTAAAAGTTCAAGCCCGTTTTAGAAAGCCAACATTTTATGTTATAATGTGCTGTTAATCAGGACTTTATTGAAATAAAAACATTGGCTCTCCCAACCCCCACTGCCAAATGCAGTTTTGTTTCGCTTTGTTTTGTTAATCCTTTCATGGTCGCACAGGAAAAAGCACTCTGAGAACTTGGAAAAGCTCCTCACCATCTAAAAGGGGATTCTAAAATGTTTCAATTTGACATTCAAAATACATTTTCCACTCTTTTCCTCCTCACCAGATTTGCGTTGACCTTTACTGCACTCACAAGGTCTAGCAGCTAAGATTCTAGCTATAATGAGGGTCTACGCCACAGGACATGTGTTATAGAAATGGCTCTTACTTTGAATAAAAGTCAGCTATCTGAGACTAGGGTAGCTCCGGCATAGCTGAGTCTTCTGGGGAAAGCCTGCACGTTCTCTGGCAAGCTCTGGGCTTGGTCCCTGTGTGGCTATCTGGGCCCAGCCTTCTTTCAGTGACACTGCTCTGCCAGGCCTCTGTCGGGTCTCACCAAGAAGGAGAAAACCAAAGAGGATCTAAACATCTCTCTTCTCTCCAGCCCCCTCCCCCCACAGAAGGGCCTACACCTGGGACACCTCTTAGGCTCAGGGCTTCACGCAGGCTCTGCTGGGACCCTGACCCCTGACCTGAGGCCTGACCCTGAGGCTGGCTCTGCCTGTGCTCCAGGGGATGGAACGGTGGCCGCCTCCTCGCCTTGGCACCTCTAGGAGGCCAGGCCAGGAAGGGGCTCAGAAGAAGAGGACCACCGAACCCTGAGAAACATGCCCAGCCTGGTAGCCACCTCCCAGGAACGTCGGCGAAGAAAGAAAAGCTTTTGGGGGATCCTGGATGAAGGCGCATCTGAAGCAGGTAGGAGTGTTAGATGAACTCTCACAACAGAGAGCAGTAGCTGTTCTGTGAACATCGAAGCCTTGCACACTCTCCTTTTCAGCTTTTTGATGATGTATCAGTGGCTATAAGGAGATTTGGAGAGTTTAGCTTAAAACTGACTTTTCTCTGGCCTAAAAGGGTTTGCTCAGAGAAATCACCTGAGTGGCTCACGTGAGTGATAGGTGTTCTTTCAGCTCCAACCCATAACCCTTTGGTAAACACACTATTCCCTCTCCAGATTCTTACGTACCTCCTCACTTGTTTTCAGGGTACGTGGCATGGCCATGGCAGCCAAAATAGTGCCAAGCTTTACTTTCTCCAGCCCTATTATGAAAACAGCTAGTATATTTTGTTTTCCAAATATGAAACAAAATTATAATTTTAAATGAGCTTCTGTAAACTACACCCACTACACCCTCCCCCATTCCAACCTTCTCCCCCTTCAGAGACTGGGTACAGAGTAGTTTTAATTGAATGAAACCAAACCCCTGAAAGACCATTGCGGAAACACTGTATTCGTCTCACCATCAAAAGCTTTAACCTGTGTTATGTTTGGCAGAAGTGGTATTTTTCTGGTTGTTTTGGCAGAAGTGTTATTTTTCTGGTTGTTTTGGCAGAAGTGGTATCTGGCCTGAGTGGTATTTTCACTCAAATAGTTGTTTAAACATAAGTTGCTTTAGCCTGGCTGTGTGCACAGTCAGGAAATCTCACTCTAGAAAATCTGCCTAGGAAAATAGGATTAGGGAGCAAATTCTTTTATAATTCTTTGTGTTTCTATAGCCCCTTTTGCCCAAATGTGTTTTAAACTTTGTTCTTTTCAGTGATATATAAGTTATCTTAGAACAGGTCCTGTGCAAAGACGTACTCGAATTTTAACTCAAATGCAGAGGTGTTTTTTTTAATGTCATGGGACAGTTATCTAAACCATTTCTAAGTAAGCAGAGATAAAAATGTTCACTACCTCATATAGGTTTTGTGATGGGTTTTTGTTGTTGTTGAAATGAAAAGTAGATCATAGTCAAATGTTTTCTCTTTTTACTACGAGAAGGTCCAGGTTTAAAATCAGTGAATCATGAGCATTGGTTTTTCCCTTTATTTTCTTCTGTAGCAGTAACACTACAGCATATATGTGCCAAAGACCCCAAATAACCAAATTGCAATTGGAACCAATGGTATGTGTTGCCTGGTGATTTTAGAGTTGTGCTTTTCAAGATTTTTACAATGTCTATTACATATTTTAAATATTACCTTCCTCAACTTTAGGTGGCAGTTGTATAGCAAATACTAACAAATTGTGTTAGATGTTCTTTCTCATCTTCACACACCTCTGCTAACCCTTCACCGACTAGTCAGCTCATTCCCCCAGTGGCAGACTAGTGCTCTCAGACATCTATCAGTGTTTTAAATATAAATAAGTAACATAAAATAGGTCTTGCACATCTTCATTCCCTTGTTACAATGCACGTTGGCAGCAGTAATCTTTTCCTTTAGATCAGCTTGTTTGAAATACAATGGCACTTAAAAGGAAGGCCGGCTGGAAGGACACCAATAAAAACACTAGCTCAGCTTAAAGCAATTTGATTTCCACCTGAAATGAATTACCTTGCAACACAAATAGATAATGGCAAACAGGATATGCTACTTATCAAGACTATTCCCTTCTGAGAGTCAGATCTCCAGGTTCCTTTGAAACTCGTCTCCCTGTGAGGATAAAAGAGTATGGTCTCCCCCAAACATTTAGGGGCAGATGAACTACTTGGAAAAGGGAAAAAATCTCTGAGAATCTAATGTTCACTCCTTGTCGATTTCTGAAGTGACAGCTCCAATTTGACCTTCCAAAGCAAAAACAAAAACAACAACAACAAAAACAAAAAACTCCTACCAGTGTGGGCTGTTAACTGAAGCAGCCTTTCTAGAATGGAGAACTACCGAATAGCATCATTTTGTTTCTCAGGAGGCTGTGTCTATGATGAGCTTTACAAAAAAATTGTTGTGTTTGTATACATAATGTGCAATGTTTAAATTACGTGATTTTCTTTTTCTGAACAATGTCTAGAAGACAGTTATGTGATGGTCTATTAGTAATTCTTATGTGATAATATTTCTGAACCATTTTTATTTTGTACATTAGTGGATTGATAATAATTGTGGATATCCCAAAAAGCATATACCTTCCTGGGAACCCTTTGAGAAAAAACAACAATTTTCCTAGTGTTTCAAAGTATTGCAACCATGTTTATAGTCCTCTATACTGCATTAAGACAGTTAATAACATTCTCTTTTGGTGCAAATTACTTTGTGTACATATTCTTGATGGAGTCTTGATAATTGCCCTTATAATGTAGGCACTAAGGGACTATTTGCAGTATTAGCAAAGACTATAGCAATGTCAAGTTTATTACCTTGGTGGGATGCAAGACAAAGAATAAGTGATTAATAATCTCTACAAAGTTTGAAGTGTACTAAGACTGTTGATAAGAAGTGTAATTCAACTTGTAAAACATGTCACTTCATGCTACTAAAAATTAAATGCAAATTCCCGAGATTGTGTTTTAATCACGTTAATATAGATCAGGTGTCCCCAAACTACAGCCCTCGGGCCGCATGCGGCCCCCTGAGGCCATTTATCTGGCTCCCCGCCGCACTTCAGGAAGGGGCATCTCTTTCATTGGTGGTCAGTGAAAGGAGCACAGTATGTGGCAGCCCTCCAACAGTCTGAGGGACAGTGAACTGGCCCCCTGTGTAAAAAGTCTGGGGACCCCTGATATAGATCTTATATGGCAGCATTGTTTGGGAAGTTTTGTGCTTTGCTTGGTCTGAATCAGTCTGTAAATTGTATGGTGAACCAAAATACCCAAAAATGAGATAGTTGAATCAATTCTGTCCATTTTTTCAAAGACTGCCGAGGAAGCATGATCTAGTCGTTGAAACAGAGGCCTGGGAAAACTCGAATAAAACCAAAATTCTAACCTCAGCTGAATAACTGTGCTTTACCATGCTTTATTTACCCCATGTAGAAGAATGAGAACATTGCTTTCTGCCAGGGTGCTTGGGAGGAATGAGCTTCTAGAGTCTTCAGAACCTCACACCCAGTACCATGCCACCCTTGTCAGAGGGCTCTCCGTATGGCACTGTATACAAGCATTTGCAACAGTCTTTACATTGTCATAATATCTGTAACAATTTGATTTTTTATTGACATTCCCATGGGTTCTTATGAAAGGTTTTCCAGATTTTGAAGGTGGAGGGATGCATCATTTATCTAAGCTGTCGTGATTATTGCATTGGTATTTAAAGGAGGGAAGAACTGTGGTGCCTATCATTATTTGAATTTCCATCTGTAGCTGGATTTTGTAAAGTTTAACACTTTAGAGCTTTCCATTGCATTGTTAAATGATAAAGTTTGTGCATCCGTACCTAAGCATCTGAAATCTTATCAGGTAATTGCATAAATGAAGTGTTTTACATCAAGCATTACAATCTGTATCAGAAAGAGCAGCTCGCATTCTTTCTCAATCAATACTGGCATATGTAAAACACTTTTAAGGCTCTCATCAAAAATAACAGACTTCTAAAATGTTTTCCTCTCTTCCGGTTAGTCATTACCTAGATATTTTTCTTTTAGATAAACAATCTACAGTGTGTTTACTGAAGCTTGCATTGATATTCCCCAATAGTGTTTGCTACTTGAGTTTTATTCCAGCAGCTACACGAAATGAGTCCATGGTGCAGAGCAGACAGGGCCCTCTGGAACCTGAGATTATTTGTTTTCTCACTGTTCTAAAGGTAATTAAGGAGCATTGCATGTTTCTCAATTAATGATTTCTCATTCAACAGGGAATCTTTGATGCTAATTTGTTTTAATCAGGGCAGAGGCTGCTCAAAAACTCTAAACAATTCAGTGAAGAGGAACTAGGAATTTTTAATCAAGTGGAAGAGATTTAAATGCTATGAGGGACGCATCCATTATGCCCCTTCAATTCCTGTTCGCTTAACTGTGTTCTTTTGGGTTTTCTAAATCAATGCAAGAATTATTCAATAGAGTATATTGTATTCCATAGTACACTTTTTCCTATATATTTGTGTGTCAGTATAATGGACTTCCATTTCTCCCATGTAAAGCCTGCTTACATTCAACCTTTATTTCTCTCTGTATATAGAATATATACATACATCTTAATACCCTTAATTG